TTTATGTATATTTAAAAATTAATCAATGCCTTACACCAAAAAAAAAAATAAATCAATGACTAATACTATTATATCATTATATAATCTTTTAAGAGATTGATTAAATGAATTCGATGTTTAATTTAATTTATTAAGAGATATTATTCAATAAATTTTAATTTTAATTTTTATAAACTGTGATTTTTTGTACTAAAAAATTAGGTTAAACAACCTTTTTAATTTTAATCTTATTATACTATTATTCCTTTCTTCTCAATGGCAACAACAAAGCACCACCAAAAGAAAATTATATTACTACTACAATTTATTTTTGTTAATGATTCAAAAGAAATAGTGAAATACATTTAGACCCATTTTTTCTTTAGAAATAATTGTCAATGCAATAATAAGTTTTACTAGTTCCTACTTTTTTTTTTTTTTTACTTGAAATATTGTTTAACCATTCCATTGAAAATGCATGGTATACACAAATCTCTCTTAAGGAAAGTTTCAATAATTGAAAATATTATTCTTAATATTAAAATGCATGACTAAAGGAAACCAACTCAATTAATTAAATTACTCAAAGACTTAAATAAAATAATAACATTAATAAAAAATTATAATTTAATTTATTTATTTCATACAATCATTTAAAAAAATAATATTTATAATTTCTTTTGCCATCTTCAATGAAAACTTCATTTGTAACAAAAAAAAACAATATTAGGAATAATTAAGTATCATTGTATTAACAAAAATCCATACATTTAATATCAAGTAACTTTCAATCTAATCTTTGGCAGGAAGAAACGGAGAAAAAAAAGGTAAAGAAATAAGATGTTAAAGGAAAAACAATCTCAACCACAAAGTTTCCCTCCTACACCAAACCGTCTATTCATTGGATTTACCCTAACATCAACTTCAACCGTTAGCTTGGATGCTACCTAAGTAACCTCAAAAAACATGGCCCCTCCCTTCATGATAAAATCCATTAATCTAATCCAAGCTTTTGAGAAACGCAATTTCCATTCACATTTGTTAGTTTTACTGATTTGATCGACGTTAACATTAAACATTATCGAAGTGGTTGTCCAAAAATCATGATTAAGATTTTTCAAAGACAACAACTATAATTAGAGCCCACAAAAACAGATGATTGTGTTTTTCATGAGAGTTGAGAAGTCATTAGCCAATGACGAACGTTGAATGGTCCGCACTAATTTGGCCATGAAATTTTAATTTAGGTGGAACTCAAACATCCCACGAATGGCTTTTGCTAGAAAATTGAATTAACAACGAAAACGAGTGTTACAAAATCAGTAGAATTAATATGTAGTCGTGACTCTTACGCTGGCGTCCAAGACTGACTTTTTAGATAAGGTTTGTCAAAGGGGGGAAATCTCTTCATTTTAAAGTATTTGGTTTGAGAAAATATTTTTGTTTTTATTTTTTATTTTTTAAAAAATATACTTGATAAATAAACATAAATTTTTTTAAAATGTAAAAATAAAGAAATAAATAAAATATTTAATGATATTATTATTAATGACATCTAATTATAAATATAATAAATATTTATTAATTAATGACATTATAAAGTGTTCAAATATGTTTACTTGTAAAAACACAAAGAAAAAAGTAATGTACATTTCTTATTTTCTCAATTGAAAACATATATATTTTTTTCATATTTCAACTCATTTTCTTTTTTTTTTTCTAAAATTTATTTTTCTTTTTAATTACCAAACATATTTTCACTATTTTTTTTTATTTTCCAAGAAAATGAAGAAAAAGACTCTATTTTATAAAATCAATAGTTTTTGTTTTTGGGTTGCTGAACTTATACTTGTTTTGACTTTAGAAAAAAAAGTTTATAATTAATACATTATTAATTTATAAATTTTATATATTGTTAGTAAATCAGATGATGATATTTTATTAATAAATAAATATTAATACTTAAAATAAATATACATAAATTAAAATATTTTAAAAAATTTACTTATTATTAAAATATTATCATATGATTTATCTCCTTAATAAGTTATCATAATCAAATTTATTGACATTGTGTATCATTAAATTTGAATAAATCTGTGTATCAAATATAAATTTATTATGTATTAAATATAAATCCAAAAAATAATGCCTAATCTTATCAAGGAGTAAAGATTTCGATCATTAAATTTGAATTTTAACCTAATTAATTTTCATGTAATAAATTTTAAAAAATGATATGAATTAATGGAATATTTAAATCTAAACACTTACTATTTTTTTATAATTCAAATTACAACCTTTTTTATATAAAAAAAATTATCATTGATACAGATAACCAAAAACTTTTCCTTCACCTATTGATTTAGTGAGTAAAGAAGCTTTACGATTTCAAGCTAAAATCTCCTCCCTTTTTCTCTTTATAAGGTCCATGCCCTCACTTAAATTAAAAAAAAAAAAAAAATAGCCGAAGACTTGAAGCTAGAAAGAAATTTAAGTTTCTAAAATTTGATCAAACGGATGAAATTAGAATAGTCTTGCAAGATCATTTTAGAAATTACACTACAAGTTTATTTTTTGGACATAAGAAAAATTAAAATAGAAATTTTATTCAAAATTATCATTATTGAAGTTAGTTCTGATTAAAATTTCCTCATGTTTTTTTCTTTCATGGTCCACTAAAGAGTTTGAGACTCTTACTCTGTTGTGGGGAGACAACTTTGTTGTTGGCCCTATCTTTCTCACCTTTTGATTTTATTGGTTCCTTTAAAGATTTCATTTCTGCTTTCTGCCATTTGTGGGCCTTTTCTTCACATGCTCATCCTTTTAATCTGATCATTGTTCAACCATTTTTCTTCTGTCTCTTCTCGTTTGATTGTCTTCTTCTCAAAAAAAAAAAAAAAAAAAAAAAAAACCAGGCTTTATCTGGTACCAATGACATTTGCAAAGTCTACCTCAAGCTCTTCCCATTCCAATGAACAAATTAATCATTACAGCATATCCCTAAAACCATGACTTGCTTCTTCCATTAATGATATATTTGGATGATCCAAGGATTTTCAGTACATCGTATCAATAAAAAAAATTAAAATTTAAAATGAGAAAATCTTTCCCAACCATTCAAATGAAGCATAAAAGAATATGATGTAATGTAAAGCAAAAAGAATGAAATAAATCCCATTTACCAGAGGACAATCATGGCTGGTGGTCCTCTCCTCTTAATGCTTATCATCATCTCTCAAAGCCACCATTCTAACTATTCTCTTCCTTTTGCCATGCAACATGTGTTTTGTCTTGGACTGATTAACAGCATTGGATCTAAAACTTTACGAGGCTCAAAGCTTTTTTTCTTTCCAGCTCGATCGATCTTTGAATGTTTGACAGCAGAAACATGTGCAGCACCAGCACTGCAAGTAAATTGCCCATCATTGTACATGCCTCGAAACACTTTACCCTTTGCATTTTTTTATTTGTTATGTCACTGTTCATAGATCCCGATTTGCTTGCTTAGATCGAGCAGTATTGTCTACTGAAAATAAAGTTTTATTATCTTATTACAATTAATTAAATTCTCGTACATTTGTTTTCATGAATTTTTATTAGATAAAAATTGATTAACTTTCAATATTCATTTTTGTTTAATCGAGGGTTCAATTAAGATAAAAATAAGTATTTAAGGATTAAATTGAATAAAAATAAATATTTAATAATTCATTTGATTTGAAATAAAAAAATATAGAATTTGATTAAATATGACAAAATTTTTTAAGTTTAAATAGTTATTAAATTTTTATTTGAGTATTTTTTTATCTTTTCATTTTTTTTAATTTAAAAAAAAAGTTTAGAACGTTAGAAGATTTTTTTTTTTTTTTAAGATTATGGCATATCGTAGGTCATATAAAAGATTTATATTACATCTACAAGTTGTTTATCAAAACAGACTGTTAATAACAAAATTTATATTAAATTTACAAATCACTTACTAAAAAAAATTACTAGTAACAAAATTCAAACTTAGACTTTACAAACAAAATATTCAAATCTTATCTAAGGATACGAAAGTACTTGACTTAGGTTTATATAACTTTATTATTATAAGATTCACTGCAAAGCTAATGTCGATAAAAAAACAGTGGAAATTGAAGAACATGGGGTCAGTCTTTTAAGTTTGAAAATGATTATCTGTTAAAATCTCATCAATCTAATCAAATGTGGTGTGGACTTAAACATTTGCTATGTTGTTAAGGAGATGATCGGTGGAGGGGCAAGTAGCCATGGCCCATTCTTACTTTAAGCAAAAGATTTTCAAAATCATAACTCTCAATTGTCTCAACTAACCCCATTGAAAATGAAAAGCAAGAAACAAACTAAAAAAATGTACTTGCAGATGGCCATTTAGCCATCACATCATTACAGTAAAAAAGATTATCCTTAAAAATCATGGGTCTTAGGCACATTGGTTGTCTCATTGTCTGTCGAGTATCATTGATTCAAAAGGTTTTAGGAGCCAATTATCTTTTGATTAGTGGGTCTCAGCAGCAATAATGATATTTTTTGTCCTATTTTTATAACTATTGAATTCGAATTTGAAAATTTTAATTTTAAAATCTCAATATTAACGAATTAACAATTCATTTATTAATAAAATTACTTGTTTAAAGCAGTGGAGTTTTGAATTTTGGATGTGAACAAGGACAAATCTTTTTTTTTTATTTTTTTCACAAGAATTAAGAACAGTAAAATTGGAATTGGACTCAAGATTGAAAACAGTCTAGGGCTTTAATGGACCCAAAAAATGGGCCAAACACTAATATGAACCCAATAAGAAGCACGTGACAGGTAAGGAGGTGGGCAACGTGGATCACGTGAGGAGAATAGTGGCGTCGATTTCACGCTAGAGATGCAAAACAGCAAATTGATTTGACTTTGTAAGGGCCAAATTTTAATATTTATTTTATTTAATATAAATATAAGAAGCAAAAAGGGGACAAGGTACCCTTGGCCAAGGGGATTCTTCTGATCAAATCTGGACCGTACGTTTTCCCCTACCTTCTCCTCCTCAGGGGCATAACCGGAAGAAGAAATGAATATGAAAATAAAATTGCATTATTTTTAGACTAGGAAGAAAAAGCGAAAACGAACAGGCAAATACCATTGCACTTTCCGATTTTCCAATCTTCGTCTCTCTTTCTTATTATTATAAAACTTTAAAAACCAATTATTTAAGAAAGAGAAAGGATTTTTTTCAGTGAGAGTATTAGAGAGAGAAAGAGCAAGGGAGTGTGTGAGAAAGAGATATGTCGGGAGGAATAGCGCGTGGTCGACTAGCCGAGGAACGGAAGGCATGGAGGAGAAACCATCCTCATGTCCGTACAGTTGTATCCCTGTTCTTTTTTGGGTTTCGAATTTTAATGTTGTTACTATTATTTGTTTGATTTTTTTTTGTTGAAATTTTAGGGTTTTGTTGCGAAACCAGAGACGTTACCTGATGGAACGGTGAATTTGATGGTGTGGCATTGCACCATCCCTGGTAAAGCTGGGGTAAGTCAAAGATTCTATTTAACTCCTCTATTTTTTATTGATGTTGATTGAGTTCCATGGATTCTGTTTATTGAGTGGGTTTGCCTATTATTTTCAGTTTCAATTATTGGGCAATTGGATATTGTTATGTTGTTTTACGATTAAGATTTTGGTTTGGGTTATTTCATTTTGGTTAAATTATGCAGTAATTTGAAAAATTTTTGGATATGGGGCTGAATAGATGTAGTTGAGACCTAAATTTTATGTGATTTAATTGGCTAAAACTTGGACTGCGAAGATATTGATGATTCTGAAAATTTGAGTGATGGAAGAGTATTGCTTTCTATTGTGCAGCATATGGTTTATGTACAGTTTATATGTGTATCTCGCATTCATAATGCAACAAAATATAATAATAAAAAAATAAAATAAAATAAGCTTTTTAAATAATGGAGGCTGCGGTATACGCTATTTAATCTTGTATACACTACTTATGCTGTATTTGCTAGAAAATTTTAGGAAAATGATAATTGATGGGAAAGCTGGTGGATATTGGAGTGTCTATGCTGACAGTGCCAGCTCATATGGTTTTTTTTTTTTTTAAACATAAAGAGGGAAAGAGAAATATATTTTAGGCTTTTATGAAAGCAAGTTTTTTGTATTTAAACAATCTTGTATGCCAGGTTATTAGGTTAATACTTGTAGATATTTTGTAATGGCGACTTTTAAATGATTTAATCAATAGTTTTGTGAAAAAAAAGACCTGTGAATTGTGGAGCCGAGACAATTGATTAATTGTTGTTATTCATATTACCACAAGTTAGTGTCTTACGTTATCTTAATGGGTTATAGGTTATTTATTTGGCTTTGTATAGCTGCTAGCCAAAAGACCTGTTTTGTGAGTTAAATTAAATTAATTGTGTTCATTTTCAGTTCCTCTGTATCTTCCCCCTCCTCTAAAGCAGTTATGAGCATGTCTGCTGTTCTTACAATTCTGCTTCCTTTCTGTTTCAGGAGTTCTAGTGGTTGCTGAAGCTCTAGCTCTCCCTCTATCTGTTAATTGCATTAGCATACAAGCATACAAGCACACAAAAACCTGTTTCATCATGAATCACCTGTCATGAGAGTCCATTTTGTCTCACTTTTTGGCTGTTCTTATTTGGCAGTTCACCAATATTGTTCAAAGCTCTTGTCCTTTGTTAATTGTTCAGTAATTAACTTGGTGTGAGGTGTTCGTTAAAATTAGGTCTCATTCATCAATGTTATTCCATGTTAATGTAGATATAATTTCATTATTGACTAGGATTTTTATGATAATGGTTCATTTTCATGAAATTCTTCATCTCCTGTTTACAGCTAAAAATGTTTTTATTGTCTTTTAACCTTGGAAAATGAGTCACTATCTAAAGCATGTGGTTCTAGATATGACTAGGAGAAAGATTTTGGGATCAAGTAGCAGACTGCCTGCTTCTTATGGCATCGGCAATTTCAATAAGTTAGCATGGCACTTCAAACAGCCTCTTATAGAAATACAAGTCTTGAGGTTTTCTGGCTATTTATATGTTGCAGATTGAGAGCTAACAAGTTTGGGTTGCAAGTTTTAGGTTTGCTTTGCAGCATTGGTGGTTGTTATGTTACTTGAAGAGTGACAGCTTTGTGGTATTGATTTTGATCTTGCAATGATATTTGTGTCTCTGAAATTGCTTCAGTTGTTGGTTTGCTTATTCACCTTGGTATATTAAATTTTCTAGTCTGATAGACCTTGCAGCTTTTATGTTATTCACCTTGATATTATTTTTGCATAATTCATTCTGTCTATGGGCACTGCTATTTCCAAGTGGCATTTTGTTGTTTAAATACATGGACAATTTTTGAAGGTGTGATGTCTGGATGTTTGCAATCCATCCGGAGCATTTATTAATGATGTCAAAATGCTTCGTTATTTTTTTAATTATAAACTTTTTTAGGAAGTCAAATATTTTATTAAAGAGTCTCATAAGAGTATTGTGTCAATATAGAATACAGAGAAAGGAATAGTGAAAGAATGTGTGCATGCTTGATACAATCGTAGCTGTGTTTCTTTTGAAAATTGGATGGGCTTAACTCTTTGTGTCATCTATGTTACAGACTGATTGGGAGGGTGGTTACTTTCCACTTACACTCCACTTCAGTGAAGATTATCCGAGCAAGCCTCCAAAGTGTAAATTTCCACAAGGTTTTTTCCACCCAAATGTTTACCCATCTGGTACTGTCTGCCTTTCAATCCTAAATGAGGATAGTGTAAGTATCTTCTTCTCCTCTTGATGTGGTTTACTTGTTTGGATGAGTGTGGTACCATCTGTCCAGCCTTGAGGTTTCGTGCCATTCTTATGTTGTTAATAGGGTTGGAGACCTGCCATAACTGTTAAGCAGATTCTCGTGGGAATCCAGGATTTGCTGGATGAACCAAATCCTGCTGATCCTGCACAAACTGAAGGGTATCACCTCTTCATACAGGTATGTTTCTTAAGTTGATTATGCCGAGACTGGATAATTGACATACACTAATAACTGCTATGTTGATTACAAACTGAATGATTAAAACATTCCTGATATCGGTTCTAAATGTATTTAGTTCATTAAATTTTGATCTGTTTAAGATGGTTGCTAAAGGTAGTAAAGTTTTCAGGCATGGTATTCTGTATCCCACCTTAATGAGGTGATTGATTAAAGTAATCATAATCAGTTAGTCACATATACCTTTGTTTTTTTGTGCAGGATGCTAATGAATATAAGAGAAGGGTTCGCCAGCAAGCGAAGCAGTACCCAGCTCTGATCTAGTGTTATTAAATACTAGATTTTTGCTGGTAAACATGTCAGCTGGCTACCTCGTGTATAACGCTAGCTAGACTTTGGTTTTACTGGAGAAAATGCCTTTGGTATTTGGTAATTATCAGTTACCTTTTTGTGTAAACTGTGTATGATTATGAAACAGCATTTGAACTCATGAGATTTGGATATATGTTTGTTTATTATATACGCTAGTAGACTTTGTAGCTTGAAAGTGAAAGTTGCTTCCATACACAGATTTTGTGTTGGTTTTAGGTCTCCACCATGGACCAAAGACAAATATCAATAATATACTAGTTGTGTTATGGTTTGGATAAGAATTTGTCAATTGATTGGATTTTGCCAAGAAAAGAAAAGAAAAGCCAATGTAAAAGATTCAAAGAAGAAAAATGAAAGATACAAAGTCTTCAGAATAATTGATGATTGAGATTGTAATTTACAACCCTGTTGTTGACATCAGAAATCAGAATGGGATTACCTCTCAAAGGGAATGAGTGCTAGTATATCTTCTTTTGCATTTGTCAATAGAGCAGTTTAATTCCGAAATTTGTTTATAATTATTTTAGTCTTTTTGTAAATATAATTATTCTGAAATTTGTTTATAATTATTTAAGTCTTTTTATAAATATAATTATTCTAAAGTATTGACTTTTAGAATTTTCTGTTTAGGTTTACTTAAATCTTTTTGTACAAATATAATCATATTTTGTTAACTATGAAAATTTAATATATTAAAAGTAATTAGTAAATTATATAATATAAATGTTTTTTCAAGCGTAATAGATATACATTTTAATATTTTATTTTCAAAATATTTTTATTTTATTGTATAATTTGATATATTAATATTCCTGTTGTGCAAAAATGTATATAAATTTTTATGTTGTCAAAATCTTTTAATGATAACAATGTAAGTTGTAAAATACAATTATTATTTAAAATATAATTTTAAAAATAAAATAATTTATTAAAAATAATAAAATATGAATTAATTATTAATAATAAATATTACAATTTATACAATAAAATGTGTATTAATGTATGTTAATATTCATGATATTAAAAAATTGCTTTTCTTTTCAAGTTGTCAATTACTTTTGGCAACAATAGCACAGTTTTGAAATAAAAGTATAGTTTTATAAAAAATATTGATTTCATTATTATTTATAAATATCAAATTTTATATGATACTTTATTTAAATTTATTTTGAATAATTTTATATAAGCATATTATAAAACAAATAGAGAAGTTGAGTTCTCATCAAACAAAATTTATATTTTTTGGTACATATATTTAATATAAATAAACAATTTTTCAAAAATATTTATGCTGCATGACAAATCCTCGTCAGAAAGAGATAAGTGGGGGGGGGGTATTAGTTAGGGATAAAATTTACACGAAATTATATAGGTAAAATACATAAAATTTTTTATTAAAAGTAAATAAAAATTTTGATAAAAAAAATTGAATCAATAGATTGATAGAATTTATTGTAAAAATCAATAATATGTAAAAAAAATATTAAAAATATAATTTATAATTTAAATTTAATCGATATTTATTCAACGATAAAAATTATGTTAATATTTTTACTAAAAATATTTATTTAATAAATATATCAAAATTTATTAAAATTTTATATGTTTAATTTCTATGATAAAATTTTTTAATTTATGTTAATATTTTTACTAAAATATTTATTTAATAAATATATCAAAATTTATTAAAATTTTATATGTTTAATTTCTATGATAAAATTTTTTTAATTTATCAATTTTAATTTTTGTTTACTCATTTTTAATAAAATATTTTATGAACTTTACTTATAAAAATTCATATAAAATTTTCCTTGTAGTTAGAGATGATTGTGTGTGTTTAACACTTTAAAATTCTTATTAATTTATTGGTGTAGCAAAAAACAAAGGAAATCTATGATAGAAAAAAAAAAGATTTAATATGAATGAAAATTATTGATATTCATATTTATTTATGATGACAAAATTGGGCAATTTTTTCTTCTTTCATTTGAACGGACGTTGATGTAAAAAGTAGCATTCTAAGTTAGATTTGGATTAGGACAAGATTTTCATCAAAACCCAGAGAATTACACCGACAGACCGACTACTTCTCTCTCTGCCTTTCGACCCAAAAAAAAAGAAAAGCTTCAAAATTCCTGGCTATGGACGACATGGCTGCCTACTACCCTCCACCCTCAGGCCTTCTCCCCCCTCACTACCCCTACTACCAAACCCCTCCTCCTCCTCCACCTCCTGCACTTGCCCCGCCTCCACCTCCTCCACCTGGTGCTGCTGCGCCACAGCCTTACCACCATTCCTACATCTCCCAACAACAACCACCGCAACCACCACCCCCTTTCCCCTCTTATTCTGTTCCTTACCTGGCTGCCTGTTCTTCCCATGACTCGGTTCGGACCCTCTTCGTTGCCGGCCTTCCCGAAGACATTAAGCCCCGCGAGATTTATAATCTTTTCCGAGAATTTCCCGGTTATGAATCATCTCATCTCCGAAACCCCAACACCTCCCAAAATTTTCAGGTAATTTCTTCTTAAATAAATTATAAGAATTTTTTTTTTTATTTTTTGATTGTTGACATTTGTTTGTTTGGGGTTGTTACAGCCGTTTGCTTTCGCTGTCTTCTCCGACCAACAGTCTGCTATCGCGGCGATGCAGGCGCTTAATGTAAGAGCTTTTATGCTTTTATTATATTTGGAAATTGTATTCCAAACTAGTAACTTTGTTAAGCTGAATTCTTATAATAATTTGTTTTAGAATAATTGAATTTAATTATGACTGTGAAATTGGCATTGGAAATTGTTTTTCAAAAAAAAAAAAAAAAGGACTGTAAATTATCAGTTGAGAGCCCCTTGTTTTACAGGGAATGGTTTTTGATCTTGAGAAAGGATCAACTTTGTTCATTGATTTTGCGAAATCCAATTCCCGATCAAAGCGCCCAAGAACAGGTTAGTCATTGTTTTGTTTCTTTTTTTTTTTTTTTTAATTTTCAGCTGTATGGTCATTTCTATATTTGAACTTTGAAGTAATTTGAACATTTACAATGTATACTTGGTTTGGTTATGGCAAATAGATGATGAATGGACTGGATCCAATAAGAAATCTAGGGGATCATTGTCGAAGCCTACGACTGATCCCGGTAAGACACTCACCTAGAATATTACATGGGCTTCTTTTTGTGCCCATCATTCTTTTAGCTTCATGTTCATTGCTTGCCGATATGGTTAAGTTACTAGATCCTTGTTGTCTGGTGCTCATATGATGTTACACTTGGAGAATAAATTAGTTACTCACATGGAGGACACATTCTTCTAAAACTCACATTGCACATGTTTTACACGCTTGGACACTAGCAGGTTTTGGAAGCATTCACATGTCTGGAATGGGTAATTCTGCTTACAACATGATTGGTTATCCACCTGCACAAAGGTCATCTGCACTACTTGAGCACATCTTTATTACTTGGAAGTGATTGCTTCTAGATGAATTAGTATGTAATAGTTTGCTTTAAATGAAAGGTCAAGGGCTTCGTTGAAATAGTTACAACATGCCCTGTTCCCAATATTGGAGTATAGTATTTCCTTTTGAGATTTCTACTCCTGTGATTCTTTGGAACCCATCTAATTGTTGATATTTTGTTTCACAATTGTTCAGTTCTGCAAATGCCGATGCCAATGCTGAGTCGACAGCTATGAAATCGGTACAAATGCTTCTGTCTTTTTGCTGGAATTAGTGTATAATAGTATATCAGTGAGTTGCCATGTATCTTTTCCCTTTATTATTATTATTTTTTTTTTTTGTTTTTTGATATCATAGGAAACATGTTCTATAGATTTTTGTGGTTGCAATGTCAATTTTTTGTTTGACATTAAGCATCCCACAAAGGAAATAATATAGATCCTTCATTTAGGTGCAAATATAGTTGACACATTCATGGTAACGGTAAATAGTTTGTTATAGCCACATTTTCTTTCTGTTGGCAGCTCAAGTGGCTCCTGAATGAATCCCTATGGTAAAAGGATAAACCCAGACTAATATATCATAGCTGCAATAGAAATCGTTGAATCTATTAATACTGTAACTAAATCTTGAAGAGAAAGAAACCAAGTGTCGTTGCCTTTTTCCGTGTACTGAATCTCATTAATGAAACATAACAAAATTTGTAATAAAGTACTATAGCTTTACCAATAACCTTTATTTTTCTTTAAGTACTGACTAGATGGCCTTCAAGTTTTATTGTTAGAATGGGTTTTCACATACAATAGCAAAATAATTCTTCAGTCTCTCATGTTTGCAGAGTGCTACCCCATGTCCAACACTTTTTGTGGCTAATCTAGGGGCAAGCTGTACAGAGGAAGAACTAATTCAAGTTTTTTCAAGGTAAAAAGGAGGTTATTCTCCATGTAAAATTTGCTCTTGCTGTGTAACTTTCTGTCACTTCATTGCTTCTGTCAGATGCCCTGGCTTTCTGAAGTTGAAGATACAGAGTACATATGGAGCTCCTGTTGCATTTGTTGATTTCCAGGTATGTAACTTCTCTCTTTTTTCTATGCCGTTTCCTATTCTGTTTCTTTGTTCTTCTCCTCTCCCCCCTTTTTCATCTCTCTCTCTCTGCGAGGTGCTCAAATGTTGGTGAATGGTAACCATATTGGTGTGTAGTCATACGGGTTCATTAGAGAAACCGCTAAAGGTTGGGAGAAGGGAAAGAAAGGGATTCAAATTCATTCATTTATGCAAGTAGAATATTTTCTCTCTGAGTTAAATTAATGAGTGAGAGTTGGAATCCAAGTTTATTCATTTAATGTCATCCGCCTAGGTGTTTCCAATTTTTTTTCTTAATCCATTAGCTGATTCTGAAATGAGAGGTGATTCTCTTTATACCTTTCTGGCTTTACTCTCTCCTCCTTCATGCTAAGAATCAAATCTATAACCTCAAACTTCCTTGAGCAAAGGTGATATGCTTTGGCAGGTACCTCGGTTATATCAGCGACAGTAAGAAATACTTAATCTAATTTATGGTTTAAAAAAGAGACATCCTTGAGGATATGGTCTTACATAAGAGTTTAATGGTGGAATAATCCATGTAGCATGTGGGAAAAAACTTTTTTTTTTTTTTTCTGTTGTAAAGAAGTGAGACATCTTTCAATTTAAAGTCTTGATAAATTAGGTGATTGGAGGCAGATTTATATTGCAGTTTTTGTTGCTATTTGTTATACCATATCTTTCTTTCTTTCTTTATAGCATTTGAATGCATTAAAACTCATTTTTTGGGGATTTACATAACTTGCTTGGGCAAATTATCTTCACTTCTCTTTGCATTGCAAATGAGAGCTGTGGATTTTTAAATATTTATTCTTTTGATTGTTGAAAAACTAAAATAAGCTAGGTCTCCTGTTCTCAACGCTTACAACCTTAATATATGTAACCATGTGTGCAGGATACTGCCTGTTCAACTGGTGCAATAAACTCTCTGCAAGGGACAATTCTATATTCATCACCAGCGGGGGACGGCATGCGGTTGGAGTATCCTTTGATATCATCATCTTTATACTTTTCGTTGCATTTTTTCTATTGTCCTTTGAGATTTCGCTTAATGAGCAATCCAGATATGCAAAATCGCGGATGGGGATGCGAAGGAAACGAAGGTAATGGACATGGAAGCAGAGACAGATTTTACAAAAATGGGGGCAGTGGGGGGAACTTTCACCCCCTGAAACCCTAAAATCTTCTTGGTAATAGTAGTAAAATGTAATTATTGCAAGTTTAAGAAGAGTTTTAGCTGAAATTCAATTACTTGTACACTTTAAGTTTGATTATTATTGTTCATATTACATAATTACCAAAGTTCAAGAAACTTTTGCTTTCTTTTTTAATTGAAACCCTATATTTCGGTTGAACTTTGTTGGGTTGTAATGTTGTGCTCCTTTTAGCTGCACTTTGTATCCTTGTAGCAGATCATTCTGATTCTTTTGGATTAATAAAAATTAATTTATCCAAATAAAAAGGACAACTCTATATTTTTTGTTGAAGTGCCTTCTAAAGTTTCATTAAAAAAAAAAAAAACTAGTTATTAAAATTTTCGTTAGCTTTATAATCACTTAGTAAAATATTAAAATTTTAATTTTAATAATTAAAATTTAAGATTTTATTCTCAAATATAAAAAAATAAAATTGTAATACCTTTTTGTTAAGAAAAATTTAAGAGTAGACAAGTTATTTCATCTCCAACATCAGGGTAAATCATTTATCTATAAGGGAATTTAAGAATTTTTTAAAATTTTTTAAAATTTATATATTATTTATTAACAAAGAATGTACAAATTTAAACTTGATACTTTGTATCTAGATTTTAAATTTTAACTATTTGCATAAACTTTTGTCAGCAAACTGCAGATATTTTTCAATGTAGCTGTCGTTACTTTCTCAAAAATCATATCCATTGTTCACATTTGTCAAAAGGATAAACAAAATCAAAATCGGTGGTTGAATATTATTTAGATGAATGAATCTTCTTTTTCAATCTATACTTTTCCCATAAGTACCCATTAACTTTTGTGTGTAAAAAAAGTAGGTGCCCATCCATAATTTTTCTTTCCTTTAAGGCCTTGCCTGACAAGTGTAATATATGTGAAAAGTATTGGTAAGAAACGAAGTACGAACTTTCTGATGGTTTGAAACAAATACAGCCTCTGTTGTCAACAACTGGAAACCTAAGCAATTTTCCAAATACGTTCCTTCACCTAAATTTAGACTTTTTTTTAAAGTTCAATAATTGGAGGTCCATGTATTGTTTATTATGTAAATTCTTTTTCAAACTTAATATAAAAATAAATATCTATCTCATTTTGCACTCGTTTCTGTTGACTAGTTTTTGCAGTGACATGACCAGATACCATTAACCCAATGAAAAATTTTCCAATGTCTTGCATCACTGTTGTCTGATGGCCATGGCCATTCTTAGGAGGATTTCGTAGGAGAAAATTCATAAGTCAATTTGCCTCTCAAAAAGTCATAGGCCTTGGTTCTGTGCTTCACTAAATTTTGTCAGGTTATTTATTGCATGTCATATCTTTGGGTTTGGGAGTTGGAACGCGTTACCATAACTTTATTATTTCAGTTCACACATTTGTACGGACTTTTTTTTTTTTGGGTAAGAGTCAAATTATTTGCTAAACAATTAAATATCAAATTGATTATTAAAATGATGAGAAATGATTAATTTATATTGTGTAAAATTAAAAAAAATTTATATATTTGTGAATCATTAATTTTAATAAATAAAAAAGATAAGAGAATAAATAAATAAGTAATGATTTAATCTAATTTTCTAGATTTATTAAAATTAATAATTAAAAAATATGTAATTTTTTTAAAAATTTTTACATTGTGTAACTTGAATCCTCCTCTTAAAAATTTATATGGATAATAATTTCATTAATTTTGAGCAATTGAAACTAAGAGTTTACTGTTTTGGGGTACATATTAAATTTATAAATATCTAATTACTTTTGAATTAGATTTTTTTTTGTATTTAAAATTATCTGAATTTGATTTTTAATTATTAAAACTAAAAATTAAATACTTTATCAATAAATTATACGACTATTGAAGATTAGATGTCTTTTTTAAATTAATAGTGAAAAGTTGAATATTTTTTTAAATTAAATGATTCGTATATTCATATCATATAAAATATTAAAATTTATATATTTATATCGTATTTTATATAAAAATTACATATTATAATTTATATTAATACAAAAATATAAAATATTTTTTTATTTTATTAAACTCATATATAATAATTAATAAAATTTTTAATCTTGTATCTTTATATTCTTTCTAAAACCGTGATTGATTATTAAAAATTAAATGTCTTTTTTTAAATAATAGTAAAATGTTGAATATTTTTCTACCGCTTTGCAATAAAGAAGATAACAATCAATCACGTAATAAGTTCATATTAAGTAACAGTTAAAAATTACATATCAGTAATAAGGTAAAGAAAAGACCTTTGGTCGGTCAAGCAGATTGTCAAAAATTTACGTCGCAATCTGCCAATATCATGTTTTTTATTATGCTAATAATAGAGGTTAATCACTGGCTTTGCTTGATAAAGTTGACAAAATTGGGTTTCTACTTAAGAAATTAATTATCACATGGAAAGAATCACGAATTTATAGGTCTTCATAAACTTATTCTAACCCATATGTAATTTTAAATGATTAATAATCATGTGAAAATTAGAAGTTGAATTCAAGAAAATGGTTTAACATATGTCTAGAATTTTTTTCACACGAATTCTTGGGAATAGAGCTGCATTCAAAATAATTTTTTATACTTTTTTTTTGAAATTATTAATATATTTTTAACATCAATCATTATATAATTAACTCGTTCAGAAAAACATTATGCTACCAGTAAATTTAAATAATAGCATTCATGTAAATTGAGTTAATAGTAAGTTGGTTAATTTTTTTTTTTTTTTTTACAAATTCAAAGTAATTATTATTATTATTATTAATTTGGTAAGATAATGTAAATAAAAAGTATAAATGTGCCAAGTGCCAACTACTGAACAGCTAATATCCAGCAGAGAACAATCCCATTAAAGAAATGAAATCTACATGGGAATAGCCTTTGTCCATTTCAATTGAACCCTAAGCAAAGAAGCATAGGGTAGCACAGCACCATATTACAATCGGACAAATGGCGATTTGGGGAGGTACAAAAAAAAAAAAAAAAATCAATCAGTCCCAAAATGTTTAACGTTTTTGTTAAACCATTCTCTTGGTACAGCCTGTCTGTCTTATCTCATTGGTAATCAAAGAATGAAAACAAGAAATTGGAGCCGTTCCTTTCCATGAAATTTGCAATCTTTAATTACCACTAACAATGTAAAATAGATTAATATGCTATAGGAAATACAAACAATTTGCTTTGGCAATTGCAAAACCAGGAGATGGCTTTCATGTGGGCTTAAATCCCATCAAGGACAACCACAACAATTTTTGTTTGGCCTCTTGCTTGAGAAGCATAATAATTCTTGCCTTAAATCATCCAATCAAAAATGTTTCAGCTTTTAATTTAAAATTAATTGATTATAAACTATTAATTTAAATTAAATATAAAATTTTAAAAATTTTAAAATTAATTAAATTAAAATTAAAATATAGTATTTACGGATTAAGTTCCATGGTAAGAACATTCAATATTATTCATCTATTCAATTGGTTTAGCTTTATCATATATCATATATGCTAATTTGAAGTCGATATAAAGAAAATCATTTCTATTAATTTGTAATAATAAATTTATATCATGGCTGGCATAAGAGGTTCAATTTTTAAAATGCACAAATTTTACTTCATGAAATAGCATAAATTAATTAATTAATAATCAAAGTTTCATTTATAGTATATAATATATATATATATTTTAAAGGATAAAGCCTAGAAAAGTTTTATATCACACAAGACTTGTTGCAATAAAATTCATATAATTATCAACATTATTTGATATTTTCTATGAAATCTATGGTATACCCATACATTAATGAATTAATATTCAAAATATAAAAAATAAATTTAAATCTCAACACTTAATTTTTTAATTTTCTAGTATAGCCTTATTTATAAAAAAAAATACAATCCCACAAATAAAAGAGTTAATGCATTAATAATTAGGCCGTTCATTATTAATATTATTATAAACGAGGGGGCCGGGGGTTAGCCCTATTCTTTTTAGTTGATGGGCCGTAAAGTTATATAACAATTTTCCAATATTATCCTCAAATTTATCATTGGAAAACAAAATTTGACAAGGACATAAATGACCATCAGCTCATATCGTTGTTGCGTGGTGGCAAAGTCAATTCCTAACGGTATCTAGCCACCGACCACCGATCACCGACCTACCCCTTTGTTCACAAATTAAAAATAATAATAATTATATAAAATAAAAATACAATGACAAAACAAACCAAGATAGAATCATCATCATAAAATTAAATTAATTAAAAAAGATTGAGAAAACAAAAAGGCATGTCTTTTTCTTAACCTTTGAATTCCACTTTACTTGCCCACAAAACGACAACTCCCCCTCACTGTCTGCCAAATACGTAATTATTTGCCTAATTACTTTTATTTTCTCCTTTAATCAATGATTAAACTATTCAAAGTTTGAATTTAGTTAAGCAACCACTGTAATGACATATATATTTTTTATTCCAAAAAAAATCAGATCTTTATGAAAATAAAAAAAATAAAAATTTAATTTTACAAAAATTAATTTCTTAAAACATAGATGAATAATTTTAATTAAATTTTGAATTATTAATGACACCCGTTTAATCTCATTAATTTAAAATATATTTTCACTTTTAAGTATTGTAATGAAATTCCTCATAATTATAACCAAATGAAACAATTTTTAAGAGTTTAGTATATTTATATATAAATATAATTCTTTCTAAGAAAATTATAAATTGGTGTCTCAACCTTTCATATTCTTATTCCTTTAAAAACATTTAATTTATCCTCTATATAATTAAGACAAAATTTCTTTATATTATTTTTGTATTTTTTTAAAAATAAAAACAAATTAAATATTTATATAACTACATGTTCTTCTCCAATTAAAAAAAAGCCAATTAATTTATATATGCTCTTAAAAGAACCCATTTATGAAAATATTTATTTATTTTTGAAATATACCAAAGAAGCCCAAACAGCCCCAAAGATGCCAAGATTGAAGCATCTGCTTGACTAAGCCCAGAATTTTCCCAATTATAACATATATAAGGGGAAAAATGTAATACTAACAATACAACAAATCCCTTACTTCACACAGATTTGTGTCGGTGAATTTGGATTTTCTCTTTTTCATTTTTTTCCCTTATGTTTCTTCCTTTCTTTCTCAGTTCTCAACATATACCTTTGTTGGTGTCTGGGAAAAACATTTCAACGTATAACCCTAAACACATGACACAACCAAACTGACATGCCATCTCTAAAACTCAACCCTTTGCTTTCCTAGTTCCCGAGTTCTTCCCCTGTCCTAGTTAAAACCACACAACCCTCCCCAAAGAAAACAAGACAAACCCAAAGCTGAGAAACATAGAATTTCTCGAATAAATTGGAAGCTATGGAAAGTGGAACAGGAGTTGTTGCTTCAAGGGAGAGTTCGAGGAAGTCTGCGGAAAGGCCTTACAAAGGGATAAGGATGAGAAAGTGGGGGAAATGGGTGGCTGAGATAAGGGAACCGAATAAACGATCGAGGATTTGGTTAGGGTCTTATTCAACCCCTGTTGCGGCGGCTCGAGCTTATGACACGGCGGTTTTTTACCTACGTGGACCGTCGGCTAGGTTGAATTTTCCTGAACTTTTGGCGGGAGAGAAAGTTGGCGGCGGTGGCGATTTATCGGCGGCTTCTATAAGGAAAAGAGCTATTGAAGTTGGTGCTAGAGTAGATGCTCTAGAGGCAGCTCATCATCATCATCGTGGTCATAATTATAGTCTTAATCAGAATTATAATCATAGTTATGGCGATGAGTTGAAGCCGAGGACTGGCGGGTTTTTACAGCGGGTTGACTTGAACAAGATGCCCGACCCGGAGGATTCAGATGGTGAATGGGAAAGGAAATAGAAAGGGAACATGAAAAAGAAAAAGGCGTTGATTTAATCATGACCCTCCAATTATTATGATTACAAAGTCGTTATTTTTGGCCTGTCTCTTTTGGCGGCTATGCAGAGAAAGAGATGCAGAGAAAGAGAGGGGAAGGGGGGCTGGTTGCTGACAAGCACCATGGGCAGTAGCTAACATGCGCCATAGTGGAGGTGAGTCCAAGTGACGGCTGAAGAATGATGAAGCCTTTGTATTAAGTACTAGTTGTAATGAAAAATCTTTGGTTTTTCGATTTAGCTACTTTTTTGTTTTTAATATTTGGGATTGACGATGGTAACACAATTTTGGCCAGTGTAAAGAAAAGGGTAAATGTATATTTGGTACTAATTTCTATCTTCTTACTACCCTTTTTCCTCTTTTCTCTGGCATTTTTTTTTTAATTGTTTGTGTGATAAATTGGGGTTTGCAGTTTTAACAAGGCTTTGCATTTTTGTTGGGGTTGGGCCTGGGGATGGAGTGGATGGAACAGAAGCGCAAGTTGGAGGGATTTTGCTTTTAAAGTTCACTCTCCACAGAGAAGAGATGGAAGTGGGGGGAAGAGGGGAACAGGCAGTGGCCTACACATCCCAGCAGTTGGTGCAAATTGGCCATGCTAACCACTAAAGCTATAACTACTAAAGTGATAAGATTTTGAGTTAGGTATTTTCTGGTTCTCCATTCTGGATGTGGGACAGAAGAAGCAATGACAAAAAAAAAAAAAAAAAACTAGTTGGGATTGCCGTCCTCCTAGAATTGGGATGATGATGTCTGGTCCAACTTGATTGTGGGGGGAAGGTTTTTTTCGAAACATGTCAAATCGCCGCTCCTCAACAATGCAAAAACACCAATTTGATGAAAGGGTTTTTTTTTTTGTTTTTTATTTTGGTTACTTGTTTTCTTCTTGGTATTTAGTTAACAACTTGCACGCCCCAACATTTCTTGTCTAATAGAGGACACGACACAACTCTTGAGAGTCCCCACAATCAACGGAAGAAAATTGTTTGTTTAACAGCAAATTCAGAATATTTAATGCCCCTTTGGCCTCTTTTGATGTAGCTATTTGTCCTGTTAGCCGTCTATTAAACTCGGAGAGGGGAGAGATATTTTCGTCAACAAAAGTTGTACAACAAAAATCCAAATAAAGACCGGTTGGTTTTTTCATACATATTCACACCTTTGCTTCCCCGTATTCTCCTCTAAATTTTCTCTCTTTTTATTTTTTTTTCTTTTTAAATTCATGAAAAATCAAAATAAGAAATAAGAGCTGTTGTTGGATGGGTAGTTAAAAACCACCAAAAAAAAGAAAAAAGAAGCACGTGAAGAAGAATGAAGTTAAGACCAGCCCGTGTAACAAAGACGACAGCATCAGCCGCGGATTCTCTGTTCCAAAGGCTGCGAGTCTAACAACAGTATTTCATGTCAAAATCTACAAGCTATGAACAGATACCATGATATTTCATCGTGCAGGTGTGATAACAGATTAAAGGCATCAACAAGAATTTCTGCTTAATTACTGTCCTCCCAATGTGTTAATCCTGGTAAAATAGTTGTATAATAATAATGTTAATAATGTAAATGATAGATATATTATACAAACGCAGGACAAAATTAAACATATTGAGCATGAAATCGCCTTTCTCCAAAATTTTCTCTTATAAATGGAGACAGGCTAGCAGAAAAAAATTTCATTCATGCATTGCCATTTTGAAACGCCTCCAATTCTTTGAATCATACTCTCTGAGTTATGCTTTTCCTTGGCTATCACGCTTTATTTTTAGGGCAGCTCTTACAACATTTCCTCTTGTGATGATACCGACCTTCAACAAGGAATAGAGCTTAGCAAACACCAGAATAAAACATAACAAACAAAGGGTTCAGAGGGAAAATTTTATGTATTTTTCACTTACCAGCTTACCCTCGGCATCAACAACCGGAAGTCGACGATATTTTGTCTCTAGCAATAATCTGAAAATTTTGATAAAACGAATTACAACATAATTTCCTTGAACCTATCTTACAATGTACATAAGTGACCAGTTTGTTGGGCTTGGTTCAAGTGTTAGGATGAAAATCTTAGCTTTGAATCTAAATACTTTCCTACCGTATCAAAAAAATGAAAAAGATGAGAATGTAAGCAGTGAAAAAAACAGAAGCATATATTAGGGAAGCAGAGGATGGTGTCAAAACAAAATATAACAACAAAAAGCAAAATAAGTCCAACAGACCTAGCAACATCCTCAAGGTTGGTTGTTTCACGTACAACTAATGGAGCTGGTGTCATTAAATCACCGATCACCTGCCCATTGGTTTTATTGAGTAACTTCTGTACCTCGTTGAAAGTCTGCAAAATTGAGAACCATTCAGTTGAACATGTAAAAACATTAATGATAAATACAAATGAGTTTTCCTGGAGCCAGATGCACTAAACTGAAATAGAAACAATCAAGTCATGCAACCTTAAAGGTTTACAATCTAGTTTGTATCCGTAAATATTGTCAAAATGGAAAGGATCTGTTTTGCTCCAGCACATGGCTATGTACCAGTAAAAACACAAAAAGCATTTGACTAAATTTCAACTCATCTTTCAATATGAAGGCACACTTTTTCTTGTTATATAAAATTCTGTCAAAATATTTTCTTTTGCAAAAAAAAAAAAAATTGTATTCATTTCTCAAATTACCATCACTAGCATTAGAAAACTAATACATAAAACAAGCAGATTTAGAAATGCCCATGTGCAGCAATATAACATCTCTGAAATTGAAAAGAGATAGGGGAAAATTGGCTAAGTTGAATAATTTTAAAAGGAGAAAACTTAATGATGATCTAAAGGAGGAGAAAGAAAACTTCTTCTAGAACAATTGGTACAAAAGGAAAAAGAAACATGAACCAACCAACGAATTCCCAAGGTGGTTAGCATTTCCTCAATATAAACCAACTGATGCAGGGCAGGTAAATTGTTTGATTAAAGCAATGGCTAACCACAGCCATTTTCAAGGACAAAATAGTTTTACCACCCATTTTACTGGAATAGTTGCAACAAAGATCAACTCTCTCAGTGATTTAGACCATAACAATAGACCTTATTATGGCAATATACTTTCCAAACCTTAAAAAAGATGTTATTTACCATTTTTTTTTTTAAATTAATGAAAGCAATTTCACAACTTCATTTCCATTTAACGAGATTCAAGATGCTAATATTTATCTCTATGTATAATGATGTAATGGAAGAAAAGAGTTTTGAAAATGAATAATATAAAACTATGTAGAAAGTTGATTTCTGCTAAAAAGATGCATCTATCATAAGAAGAGAGAGTTTTCACGTACTTTCCAAGTGCTATCAACTTCAGGAAACATGTCATTCTCAGTCCGCCGCCCTGGTTGAAAGAACAATTCAAATGATGTAAGAAACGACTATCATTACATGAACATATCCCAGGCTCATGCCGCATTTCCACGAAAACACAGAGTTCTACTTTGTCATATTAAAGAAATTGGTTTGATAACAATCAATGCCTACTACTTCCTATTAGCCTAGCAAGAATAAAGAAGTGACGGCATTCTTGGTGTGGAATTGCCATAGAAAAACTTGCATCTCAGCTTAATACAAACTGGTTCACATTATACTAACAACAAAAAAAATCCTAAAAACCACAAGAAAAGGGAAGTAATAAAAATTAAATGCCCAACTTAGACTGCAGTTTTTGCTCATACCAGATAAACAAAATTTTAGTCTATTTCTAATAGAATTGTACATAATTATATTGTGTGTACAAATAGTTGATAAAATAGATAAAAAAATTTTTATTAGATAACAACTAAAAGAAAGATGAATGACACTGTTAAATGCATTAGATAATTTTTGGCCACAATTATTAGATAACTTTAATTTACCAGATATGGAGTCCAATGCTAGCAAGTCATAATCAGAAACAACTCCAACCTGCAGCAGCAAAGAACATGTTCCAATTATTCCAAAAGTAACAGTTAATAACTTACTAGGTCAAAAAGATAAGGCAGATTTACAAACTAAAAAAAAAACGAAATTGACTGCAAATGAAAGCATGATGGCGAACTTTGGAAAAAGAAGGCATATAAATGTTGACACTAGAGACATTATGACATTGGAATGTGGAAGTAACAATGAGTTGATAGATAAAGAAGATGCGAACAAGCCCAGAAAGTCATCATATGGGCAGAACCATTTGTCCTTCACTCACCATATGCTAGCCTTAAAGTCTTAAGGAATGAGAAAGGAAGGAGCATATATGTGTATGCTTACAGTCTCTATTGGCCACTGTTTGACTAAGATATATGCTTAAACCTAATGAATCAGGACTATAATTACAGTCTTGAAGGATTGCATTCTACCCTTCATTGACAAGATCAAATATCCAATCCAACACTCACTTTTAGGCCATGGGCCCAGTGGGAGAATGCAAATGCTAAAATTCCACTTATTTGGAAATGTCAAGATATCATGATAGTATCAAGAGTTTAGACATTTGATATTAAAAACTACCAAAAGAATGCAATTAGGAGGCTAATGAATAGTTAAAATCTCCAGACCAAAATTAAAGGTAAGATAACATACCAATTTCCAATCATCATCAATCACAGGAAAACCAGTAATTCTGTGTTCAACAAGAGTTTCTAGTGCTGTAGGTGTTGGCAAAAGATCAATACATTAGAATTTAAAAATATTAAAAGATACAACATATTATAAGATATAGACTATGAATAACAAATACCTTCATCAACAGTTGTTGTAGGCTTTACCACATGCAAATCCTCTTTTCTCGTCATAAAATCCCCAACTATATATACTCCACCTCTTGGCTGCATACACACAAAATAAAGAAAAAATGTTCATGCAGAGAATAATAGTAAAGTTCGAAAATCATATAAACCATCTTCCCAAGTTGCCAAAGCTACAGTCTTTTTCCTTCTGAATCAAGTATTTTATGATTAAAAACGGTTTAGTAATAATTATACAGACAGAATAAAAAAGGTTTGATCTAATTGTATTTACCTGAAGCATTTGATTTAGCACTAAATTATTTGAGATGACACAAACACACACACAAACGTTTGTATGTGTGTGTGTGTATGCATATTACAATCAAGAATTAAAATAAAACAAATGAAAGCAATACTCGTGGAGCTTAATTACTGTCTTTGCATCGTTTAATCCACCTAAAAACTTACAACTTATTACAGTAAATCAAAGAAAGTAGAGATTTCGAAACCTAAATAAGCCAAAATTTCAGATAAAAATGAATTAAACTGCAAAATTCCATTCATATAAAAAAGAACTCTTCCTTAAGATGTTTTGCGTCCAAAGCAGTTTTAAAATTAGTACTAATTTCAGCTAAGTTGACAAACGTAGGCATCCAAACATTAACAAGAAATATACAAAAAATAAAAATAATAATTGCTTGCTAATTCTAAGAAGTGAAACTAACTACAGATTTCTCATGAAAAAAAAAAGTATACTAATAAGGAAACGCGATAGATTTGAAAGCGACTGGATAAGGCAACAAACCGAAACAGAATTGGCGGTGAGAGTGCCACTAGCGGCGACAATGGAAGCGGATGACCTGCGAGAACCAGAGCCAGCGGTGACGGTGGATAAGGGAAAGAGGAGGCGTTGGACGGGGCAAAAGATGAGCTGGCAAGGGATGTGAAGAATGGAAGCAGTCGAGGTGGAAGTGGCGCGTAGGCGTGTGAGAGATAGGGATTCCGTATGGAGAACCGCGTCCATTTTTTATCGGCTCTTTTTCGTTATGCGGCGACAGCCTTTGCTCAGTGTTCCGATATTTTTGGTGAGGAAATGAAAGGGATAGAGAAAAGGGGACTTTGGGGGGGTTCGAAAAGGGGCAAAAAAAAAAAGAAAAAGGAGTGATAGACTTGTTTCGTGGGTAATCCTTGCGGAAATTGAAACCAATAATAAAAATTATTATAATTATAATTTTAAAAAAATTAATGAAAAATTTATATTAAATAAATTTTATTAAAATTAAAATTAAAATTTAATTAATAATATAATAAATTTAATTATATCACATAAAAAGAATTATAAAATCATAAAATCCAAATAGACACTTAGTAATAAGCGAAGGAAACCGACTTAACGCTGATTTAGACTTGCGATTCTAGTTCGAATATGTAAAGTTTTCAAGTGGCTGCCTATTAAGAATAGACGTAACATGAGTTGTTGACGAGGTACAATAAAAGTGGCTTGCGACGAATGTTGAATATATAAGCGTTTAAATTTAAAATTTTTATTAATAAATAATTTATAAATTTAAAAAATTTATCCGTAAAAGTTTAATAAATTCATAAATTTTAATTGAGATAGAAAAAGACGTGAGATAAGTCATATCAGATCGAATTAACTCTTTCGTTATCTTAACATATTTGTTCTAAGACTGATTTGGCCCATCAGATTTTAAAACCCTATTTTTTTATATATTAAAAAATCATTTTATTAATATTTAAATTTAACATGCAGAAATTTTATATATTATGTAATTTTATTAGAATTAACAGTTTAAAACAAAAAAAAAAAAATCTATTTTAAGTTGAAATCTTTTTATAAATTAATTATCTAAAGTTGTTTTGTCTTTATCTTGTTTCTTAGAAAATAAGTTTAATTCTTGAACAAAAATAATACATCATACATGCATCTGCCTTAGAATAAAATAGTTAGATGCGAAGGCTAACGTTAATTTAATAAATGCTACACTTAATTTAGCAATTCTCTTTTTTGGGGTAGAAAATTTATAAGAATCAATATACAACGTGTCAATACGAAGAATTCAATTTAATATGTAACACTTTTAGGATATGCTCTTCATTTTCCTAATTTGATTAAAATTTGCAAATTAATATCTATCAATTAAAAAAATGAAAACTATTTGATTTTTATTTCTAGCCAAAAGAAAATACAGATAGAAGTTAGAACCGATAAAACAATACGGAGCAAAACATAAAAATCCCTTTTGCAATTACGAGGAAACTAAATCAGAATGGGAACCAACAAAGGATAAAGAATCTACGGCTAGAATCTCATCAGTCAAAAAAGGAAATGGTTTAGACAGTTGTCGTTCCCACCAACTTTCCCACACTATATAATCTCCACTTCTTACACAGTACCGGTGCGGTGCCCCCGTGCTGCCCAAAAACTAAAAATCCCCCCTTTATTTTCTCTTCGTTCTCTCTTTTATTTTTATTTTATCAGCAAAAAAATTCAAAAAAAAACTTGTCAGTTTTTTCGCTTTTATGTTTATCATTCACATTTTTTGATAAAAAAAGGATAAAAAAAAAAGGAGGTAATGGCTGCGCAGGTTCAAGTGCAATTTCAGGCGTCACCACAGCAGCAGCAGGTGGTGAATGAAGTGACGAGTAATGGTGTGAATGCGACGACGTCTTTATATGTTGGGGATCTTGATCCGAGTGTAACGGAATCTCAGCTTTATGATTTTTTTAGCCCAGTGGGAGCGGTGGTTTCGGTTAGGGTTTGCAAAGACCTGAGTACCCGCCGCTCTCTTGGTTATGGTTATGTTAATTACAGCAACACCCATGAAGGTCACGATCGTCTTTTTCTTCATTTTCGCTTCTTTTACTCTTGGGTTTACTTAGGCTCCGTTTGGATATTTGTTTGTTTGTTTTATTTATTTTTTTTTTTTTGCTTTTTAAAATGAATGAATCGTTAAAATGTATGGTTTTTGTTTTCAAAATTTTAAGTAAAATGCTATTGCATTTTATCCTAACAAATGGTTTTGCTTGTTGCTTCCAACTGCAAATAAAAAAATGTAAAAGTATCAACTTTTGGTATGGGTTTAGAGCTATGAAATTATGGTGCAACTTGATATAGAATGGTTTATTTTAGTTTTGGATTTATATGGGCATATTCTTCTCTGTCTGCATTGCATTGGGGGAAAGAAACATGTTAGTTATAGCTAATAGTGGCTATTGTATTTTGGAACATGGTTTGATTGTGTTTGATAGAATTTAAGAGGAAGAGTTAAAAATGAATAATTGAAAGAAGCAGTAGTTCCATGTGTCCCTGAAACTTTTTTTTCCCCATAGATGTTTGGCTGTTTTGGTCTGGCTAAGTTAGAATGATATTAACAGAATATTTAGGATTGGCAGAAATTCAGTTGTGACATTGCAAAAACAAGCATTTTACTTAATACTGAGATTTACTTTTGGATTTGTACCGTCTTGCATAAACTGAATGACCTGTTAGAAGTGATATGAGCTAAAGTCGTTCAGTTGGCTACTATGTTGCCATAAGTGTTTTATGTTTCTTACAATATCAATGTACTTGAGTTTTCTTAGTAGCTAATGATTAGCTGGATGATCATATAGCAATATTCTTAAGCCCTTTTTCATTGTGGTGGGACAAGGGGGTTGTGGGAAGAGAATTAAAATATGTATTGGTTCTTGAACTGTTTCTGCATGATTGCATATGGCTCCATCACCATCTCTCATTTTTGCTTATTGCCAATCATCCAATTTCTTGCAATTCTTTCTGCCAATCCTGTATGTTGAAGAATCAAGTTTATCCCTTTCTATTCCTTTCCACTCGCATTTGGTGAGTGCAACCTGCATGAATTTATGAACAACCAAATGGAAATTTATATTTTTTTAATTCTCCACCTGAGCATCCATATTTGCTGATACCTTTTTGTGTCTTATTGTTCATAACAGCTGCACGGGCGTTGGATGTACTGAATTTTTCTCCTCTCAATGGCAAACCAATTAGGATAATGTATTCTAACAGGGATCCTACTGTCCGTAAAAGCGGGGCAGGAAATATATTTATCAAGGTACTTATGCTCTGCAATGTCTCCAATTACGATCTCTTGAACTTTCTTATACACTCAATTGTTTTCCTCCTTCTGATTGATTCTTATTCTGTATCTCTTTCCTTGAAAGAATTTGGACAAGACAATTGACAACAAAGCTCTACATGACACATTTTCTATATTTGGGAATATTCAATCTTGCAAGATAGCTACTGATCATTCTGGCCAGTCCAAAGGATATGGGTTTTTGCAATTTGATAACGAGGAGTCTGCCAAAAATGCAATTGATAAGTTGAATGGTATGCTACTTAATGACAAACAAGTTTTTGTTGGACCTTTCCTTCGTAAACAGGAAAGAGAGCCTGCTTCAGACAAGGCAAAGTTTACCAATGTATTTGTAAAGAATCTGTCAGAATCAACAACTGATGAGGATTTAAAGAATGTATTTGGTGAATATGGACCTATAACTAGTGCTGTGATTATGAGGGATGCAGATGAAAAATCGAAATGTTTTGGATTTGTCAACTTTGAGAATCCTGACGATGCAGCTCGGTCTGTTGATTCACTCAATGGAAAGAAGTTTGATGGTAAAGAATGGTATGTTGGGAAGGCTCAGAAGAAATCTGAAAGAGAGATGGAATTGAAAGGGCTGTATGAGCAGAGTTTAAAGGCAACAGCCGACAAATTTGAAGGACTGAATTTATATGTTAAAAACCTAGATGATAGGATCAATGATGATAAGCTTAGGGAACTGTTCTCAGAATTTGGTACAATCACTTCATGCAAGGTTTGTAACATGGTTCAATCTTAGTAAATTCCATATTTCAGTTTACAGTGTAAAACTTAGCCATGGTGTACTCCTTTTTTCATTCTCTCTCTCTCTCTCTCTCGGGCTTAACAGGTTATGTGTGACCCTAGTGGTATAAGTAGAGGCTCAGGCTTTATTGCCTTTTCAACTGCTGAAGAAGCATCTCGAGCTGTAAGATATTTTGTTGGTTTCATTTTCCCAAGTAAATTTTTGAAGTTTTTTCTTTTCATGTTGTTAATGACTTTTGTTCTCTGTTGTAGCTCATGGAGATGAATGGTAAAATGGTAGTTAGCAAACCACTTTATGTTGCACCTGCTCAAAGGAAAGAAGAAAGGAGAGCTAGGTTGCAGGTATTCCAATTAATAGTTTCTTTTTTATACAAATATAAAATACTGGAAGAAATATCTAATGAGCTTGTTGAGCTGATTTCTCTTTGTTGTGTATTGGTGCTTATTTTTGGATGGATGCTTTGCATATTTTATGGTAAGGGTGGTATTTATATATATTCTGTTGTTTTCTATACAGGCACAATTTTCTCAAATGCGCCTTGGTGCAATGGGACCTACTGGTGGCCCTCAGATGCCCATTTATCCTCCTGGTGCTCCAAGTCTTGGACAGCCACTCTTTTATGCTCAAGGCCCTCCTGCCATAATTCCTCCCCAAGTAATACATCTAGATTATGGGTTGATTTTTCAGTTTTATGGTGCTTCTCAATTTTGTCCCAGCTTCTTTTTATGACAAAGTTTGTTTGAATGTATTTGTCTTTTGGGTGCTCTTTATTTATTTGGAGGTACTTCAATTGTTTATTCTCATTTTTCTCAAGGATGATCTTAAGTTATAACCTTAGGAACTATTATTAGTAAATTCTTTGGTGTGCATTTGGTATAACATGTACTCACTAATTAGAGTTGGAATTCTTTCAATGTGAGAGCTTTGAAGCTTAATATATTTCCAAGAGAAGGATTGAGTTTAGGTTTTTGACATTGTTTGCAATTTTGGCTGACAATTTATATTTCATCTCTGATTTTGCTGACACTTCTTAACTTCTGCTGTCCTTTTATTATGGGGAAGTGTAACTATTCTTTGTTACTTGAGAATACGCAATGTCCATTCATCTTGTCCTTTGTGGTGCTTTTGGTTTTTGGATACTATAAGTTGATCAGTTTTCTGTAATGTATATCAGCCTGGATTTGGGTATCAGCAGCAACTAGTTCCTGGAATGAGGCCAAATTTTTTCATGCCAATGGTTCGGCCAGGACAGCAGAATCAACGCCCAGGAGGCAGAAGATATGGAGCTGGGCCAATGCAACAAACTCAACAACCACTTCCCTTCATGCAGCCACAGGTTGATAATTACCGTCTTGATGTTCTTGACGGTTTTTCTTTTGTCACTATGTTTCCACATATTTTACCTTTTTGCCTGTATTGGATTTCTTACCAAGATATCTTTGTCTTGACTCTTGATGCTGATTGCAGATGCTTCCTAAGGGCCGTGGCTACAATTATCCCCCAGGTCGCAACATGCCTGATGTTCCAATTCGTGGTGTTCCTGGAGGTATGCTTCCTATTCCTTATGATATGGGTGGAATGCCATTCAGAGATACTACATTTTCACAGCCCATGGCAACTGGGGCTCTTTCTTCTGCTCTGGCAAATGCAACACCTGAACAACAGAGGACAGTAAGTGTCTGTCTTTATCACAAAAATAGGCATAGATAATAGAGCTTTTTATTCGTAATCAACTAGCTATGTCAAATATCATAGCACCAAACTTTGTTGTCCCACAGTAATGTTGGCAATTTTTTTGGTGCAGCTGCTTGGAGAAAATATATTCCCACTTGTAGACCAGCTGGAACATGATAATGCAGCAAAGGTGACAGGTATGCTCCTAGAGATGGACCAGACTGAGGTTTTACACTTACTAGAGTCACCCGAAGCCTTAAAAACCAAAGTTGCAGAGGCCATGGATGTTCTAAGGAATGTTGGTCCGCAGCAGCAGCAAGCCAAAACTGCAACTGATCGGCTGGCCTCATTATCTCTAAATGACAACCTTGTCTCTTGAGTTTAATGTATTTGTTGCATACATTCAACTTTTTGATCCTTAACATCTGTTTCTGGCTTTGATTTTATTCTTAGGGATTTGCTCAAATAATTGGAGTCAGCTGGATTTTACTAGTCTTAAATTTTTAAGTTGTGTTACTTTACTTTATATCTGGACATATTTGCAGTTCGCAAGGGATCTAGTTAATCAATTTGCATGGTTCTTAAATTTCTCTACAGTCTTATGCCGAATTTCAGGCAATGTTTTCTCAAGGGAGTGCCAACTTCACTCTTTCCAGAGCCATGTTTGAATTGGATTTTCTAAAGCCCTGTTTGGTTTGGGCATTATGGGTTTGGATTAGGTTATGTTGGGTCAAGGTCATTTTGAGTTTTGAGTTTTTCGGATTCGGTTATTTTTGGATTTGGACCGAGTTCAAGATAGTCTATTGGGTTTAGGTCTTTTTAAGTGTGGAATTTTTTGGGTTTAGTTATTTTTGGATTTGGGCTGAGTTTAAGATCGTTTTGTTTGTTTTGGGTTTTAGATATTTTGAATTCCTATCACTAAGGTTCAAAGTTTTTTATTTTTTTTTTAAATCGGGTTTGGTCCGGTTTTGAGACTAGGTTTCATGTTGCCTTTGCCACCTCTACGTAGTAATGATACTTTTGTGTGGAACTACTGGTTTATTTGGTTTGCCCTGTTACAAATGGGGATGTTCAATGCAAATTCACGTATCCAACACTCCTTTCCTTAAATGACATGCTGTTTGCTTCCTTTAGATTGTGAAGCTGACGCGTGGGACTTGGGATCCTCAATTCTGCTTATGCATGGTATAACCTTGAATATAAATCCAATTCTTATCAGAGTTGGGCTTTTAGCTTGAAAATGGCCGAGGACAGAGCGATCCTCTAATGATATCCAAGTTTAAAACTCTACCCCTAATTCCACAAGCCCACTTGGCTTTCAAATTTGAACGGTTAGTTCCATTTGCCCTAGGATGAGGTGTCATACATTCAGAATATCTTATAATTTTCCCATTCAATTATTAGATAAATCAAATCACCTTTTATAATGCAAATAATAATCTCCTCCCAAGTGATGAGCTCTTGGATTTCTCTGGATTTTGCTATCAATGATTCATCATATCAAGCAGGACTCTAATGTCTGACTCAATTAATGGAAGTGGATACACATAGTATAACAATGATGGCATCACTACCAGACCACATAATCTATTATCATCTACTATCTAATGACATTTTAACCAATAATCCTGATCTTTCATTTATTTTTTTTTATATTTTCGAGTTCCGAATCATTTTTGGTTGATGAGAGATAGGGATGTTGTTCTTAGGCCAGCTCAAACAAGCAATGATGGGAGACAAGCATATCAGTTGAGAACAGAAAATCCAATGAAAAAGTATTTCTTCTAGGTTCTACAGCCACATACACTGAGCCATACTGCCACAAGCCATGGGGTCTCCCCTGTATGCCTTGTAATTGATTTCAAGACAATGACAGTACTAGTTTTTAAGGTTCAGCCTGAGATGAAGTTGTAAAGTCTGCAAACCAAAATTTGCAAAACAAATAAAACATGAACATACTTGTTAGTAGTACTACTATAGTAACTTCACTTAATTTGTTGGCAGTCCTATTCCTATACCCTAGTTAGCAATTAATGTTTAATATGAACTACAATTCTTAATTAAGATAAACTGGGCTAAATCTTAGTTAGGGTGTGGCTACGGCTACATCTAATTTAATAAGATAATCTAGAGAGAAAGTGAGCCCAAATAGTACTATTCCGATGGCTAGCTGAGTTTGGTCGGGACCAACCTAGCGAGTTATATATATATTTTTAATAACCTGGGGTATCTTAAGTTTGGTATGAATTTAATTCTCTTTCAATGATAGTGATGTAATATATTTAAATCATAAACTTAATTCAATTTACTTATATAAATTTTTTATTTCATTTTCAAATTAAAATTTCTTTCTTAAAAATAATATATGTAGGATATTTAAGATTTTATTTTTTAATCTCCTACTAAAAAACTTTTATTCTTGGAAAAAAAAGAAGGGTTATCCTACAAATTAAAGAAATGAAGGTGCTTAACCATCTGGTCAATTTAGAAGTCAATCGCATTGGTGCTGAGTGCTAACTTTTTATGGTAAGTTAAATCGTAAAACTAAGTTCATTTTAATTCCAAATTTGGAACCCAGTCCTTTGGATTTCAATCTTTTCGTCTCCTCGGTTGAATAGAGAAGAGAACTGCCTTAGGTAGGGAGCAACTGAGCAAGGCCGGCTTTTCACCTAACATCTTCTTTGGGCTCTCCACCAATTGCTTTATGGCATTGCGCCGACATTATTTTTTTTTTTATTTTCTTTATATTTTTTAGTGCTTGAATTTTAATTTTAATTTTCTCATTTCTTGCCAATGATAAATTATTGTTCTGCACTGTTAAACTTTTGATAGAGAACTATTTATTCCCCTTTTTTTCGAAAAAAAAAAAAGGTGAATGGAGATCTACCAACTAGTGAGAGAACGCAACAAATTGATGACCTTAGCTTTATGACTTTTCCAACAAAACAAAGAAAGGAATTCATTTAAACGAAAAAAAGAAGAATTGCATGATTCATGTGTTCAACCTGTTTGAAATAGCAAAAATAATAATTATTCATAGGATGTATGGAATATTAGTTTGATTTAAACAGTTTTTATGACGACTTTTTCAAAGAATTGTTAGTCATAATCATAATTATTCAATGACCTTTCTTAATTTTTGCCTTACAAATAAACGTGATACAATAATTTTTAAAAATTTTAAATAATGTTTGAGTTTAGAGAGATCATTACATTTATTGATAAAGAAGTTTAAAAATGTCATTTTCAAAGTAATATGACCACGTATCCCTTCAAATATTAAAAAAATAATATATATATATATTATCGGTATATAAAAAAATTGAACCAACTGTTTTGTTAATGAAAAGTTTTATATATACACGTTATTGATAAATAAATTGTTTTTTCATTGATGTAACATTCAATCCGTAATGTATGTCAAATCATTTTATTTTATCTTATTTTAATTTTTTGGGAGTGGCTCTAAATATATGATTTAAATTTTTTTTTTGCATTTTAATATATATTTTTAAAAGAAAAATTATTTTTGATACACTGATAGTAAAATTTTTTAATTTTATAAGTAAGGTTCAGATGATAACACATGTATTATTTTTTTTAAAATTAATTTTTTTTAAATATATAAGGAATATATATTATTATCTTAATTACGCTTGTGAAGTTAAAAAATTTTACTATCCGTGTATTAGATAATTTCTCTTTTTAAAAATGTTTATATATAAAATATTAATTTTATCTTTTAATAAATTATAATTTTACTTTTTTTACACTTCATGTTTAAGGGAGATTTTCAAAAAATCTTTAAAGTTTTTGGAAACTGATTTCTTAAAGCCCTTTAAAACTCTCAAAAATCTATTATCTAAAAGCATGATTTCAATGAAAAATTTTGCACCTTATTCACATTTCATGCAACATTTAAGGCTTTCAAAATTTTATTTTTGAGAAAAGATTTTCAAAAATCCATTTTCAAAAAGCTTTTGGAAATGATTTTTGAGAAACATGATCTCAATGAAAAAATTTTTCGTAAAAACCCTAACTTTCATACGATTTCAACCAATTTTATAAATAAAAATTTTGAAATATTACCTGCAATAAATGAAATACTAAAAAAAATTGTGATTTAAAGATTTGTTTAATAATTTATGGTCAAATTTGGATTGAATATGCAACGAGTGAGTGAACGAAGAAGAGAGGGTATTAAAAAAAAATGTGATGTTGTTAAATTGAGGTATATTTAGAAGAAATAAATAATTATATGTTAAATATGAAGTATATTTAATAATGAGTATAAAAAATATTTTTGTAGATGCAAATAAAATTTCCCCTGTTTTTCATTTGTGCTATTATCATTTTGCAAGTCGTAAGTCGTCATCAAATTGAAAAATCATTCAAGGAGTAAATTGTACAAATTATTTTTCATGGAATCGTGTAATGTGATGAGCAAATCATAGAAAATGAAATTTGTCTAACAAATTAATTTCTACTCTTTGTTTCCTTAGAGAGGGATATAGGTTAGGTCCACATCTGTTGCATTGAATGGTGTTGAGTCTTGATGCAGTGTATGGTTGAAACATAATCTTTTTTTTTCCCTCGAAAGTGGACGGGATCGTGGTCCATGCATTTGCCAAGGTTGTTTTTTAATATTAAGTACCAATCACGAATTGCCATTATAGGAAAGTTTCCATAACAAGTCCAATAATTTTATCATCCACCATTCGCATTTTTCATTTCAATAAAAATCAATGTGAACGATTGAAAACAAGATGAACTTGATGTAAAGTACCTTTAAATAACAAGATTCAAGATTTTAAATTAGGGATCAAATTAAATAATAATTGTAATTTAAAAATTTTAACTTAACATATAATATATTATTATTTTATTAAAAATTATAAAAATTTTAGATGCAATATGACATTCTATAATGTAACCATAAATACAATATATAAAAAAAATTCAAGTATTGATATAAAATAATACAACTACTAAAAATAGAAAAAAAATAATTTTATTCAAAATTTTGCACGACGATTTTTCATAAAATTTTTTTTATTAAACTAGAAAGTTTTAACAAATTTTTTCTCGATATATAAAATAAGATTAAGATTTTCTTTTAATGAATTTAAAATTAAAAAAAAACTTATAATTTACTATTAATAATTTTAAAATCAGAAAACAAATATGTAGTGGTTTTATAATGAAAATGGTTTTTTTTTGGATAAATGGTATTTCATTAATCCAAAGAAGTAGAACTCATGCTACCAGTCTACAACAATCAAGGAATAAATCTTAGTATTTTCTATATAATCCCCCAATTATTCCATACAGAGCTAATAGAAGGATCATTCGTATTTTTTACAAATTTTAAAAGGCGAAATTTTACATAAAAACTTATGCCTTGCAGAGTATTTTCAATGTTTGGAGAACAAATGCCAAGCTTTAGAGAGTTCCTCACGTGCCATATATGGTACATGCTATCCACACTCCTCTCAAAATCATAGCCTTGAAAGTTTTACCTTTAGTATGTCGAATAGATAAGTCAAGCTCCGGCTGCCAGCTATGGATT